CGTGCTCTGTTCGCACGCGCTGGACAAGGCTGGAAGAAACGACGCGGCGGTCAGGTTATGACTTGGCCTGGTGGTATGAAGAAACTAGCATTAACATTGGCTTCGGTAGGTGCTTCTCGCCTCCCTGGTTGGAGCACAGGGGACGAGGATTGTCGTTGGTTAGAGATGGGAGACATGACTGAGAATGGAAGTCAGTGGTGCGAATGCTGTGTGGTTTGTCTGGCGAACTGTCGTGTCCCGTAGTCACAAAAATGTCATTCAGACAAAAGTCTACAATAAGTGTACGGTGAGAATGCCAAAAAATCTGCATTTTTCTCTGCTTTGCTAACTGTCTCTTTCTATCTGTATTGTACGCACCTTCTTCTACTTTGTAACTTTTGTTATTACTTTGGCATCTTGCTTTATCTCGATTCGGTGTAAGTGTATACTTCAACATGCAAGAGGCTTTGGCCGCACTCAGTTAACGATGGTCAATGGGCTGGGAAGTTGCTTGTTTGGACATTGGCAGAATTAAGCAACTGTTACACTAATGCTTCCTCGTAAAATGGCTGTCCGGTCCGCTTGAAGATAGTCGTTATCCAGGAGGAGGATGCAACCGTGTATTTTACATGCCGTCGTTCACCTATTTGCATTGATTTCCCTTAGCATTGGCGTGTTCGTTCACATCAATCCACAACTGTTCATAATTGGGTTCTGAGTAGTCGACTACTTACTCATTCAACAAGTAGCGTGCACATTCTGCTCCTCCAACAAAGAAGCGATCCATATTTTGCAGGTTGCCTTTAAGTCCTCCTCCACTCCGGATACCAATCCAATACCGGTTCGTCGCGGTGCTGTCATCAATCCCACAGTTTCTCCGGTGGTGTGCTTCGTTCGGCGAGTAATGGGCATAGAATAAGGTTTTGTTCTGAGGCGACTTTTCTGATCAGTAACCACATTCAGTGTCCCCCAGATTGTTTGGCTGCCGTGAGAGATTACCACGAAATAGTGCAAAACTGCTACATTTGCGAGTTGGACCGCGCGTTGTGCCATTTCAACGTGATCCTGAAGGGAATGTTTGACGGTCTTGATCTGAATGGCGATGGTCAGGCGGTTATCCTCGTTGACTTTGGACGATAACAACTCGGGTTTGATTCCCGCCACTGCTGCCATTTGGCAGCCTTCCGTTGGCCGCGGCCCCCTTCCTGAATTGTTGTATATTAAGTAAAAAAAGAGTATAGGATTATTATTACCATTATTCGGCTTCAACGTTTTGCAGAATCAACTTCTCTCGCGATCTTCGGGCTAAAACCGTTCCGGTTTTGAATTTCAACTTGAGTCTGATTTTCCTCATAGTTTATGGCTTCAATGACCGCAGTATCAGACGACATGTCTTCATTTCCCCCGCCATTATGTTCATGTTCAAAGCACTCTGGATGACAATTTTTTTCCATTTTCACAACGGATTTGGTTCCGTTTTCCACAGTTCGCGAACTCCTCGGTAGTGATTGACTTTCCAGAGGTGATACTTCCAGTACGACTTCTTTGATATCATGCTGAAGTTCAGGATATTCGTACAAAACAGGTGCCGCATTTCCACAGCAGGAAAGCCCGGTTTCTTCCAACTGTTTGGCTTTCACTGATCCGTCCTCCGGGTCCAATGTTTCTAGCCTATATGTCTTCCCCACCAGTTCGCTGTTCATCCATGGATCCTCGACATGGGCCGTATTTGCCACAGGCATATCAGGAATGGCCAGTTCTTGAGCCACGTCCGCGAGCTGGAATGCATCCATGGAACGACCGACATGGGCGACGCGTATCATCCCACGCAGGGGCTCCGGCAGACTATCCACAAATCTGTCCATCAACAGCTCCGCCCGTGACACTTCATCTAGCGTAGGCAACGCACGGTCCAAGAGTGAACAAAATGCGACGACACGCACCAGCGGGTCCGCCCCCATTCCCATCTGGGCAGCCTTGATCCGCCGCATGGCGTCCTGACGGTCGGCCTGGGTTTCTAGTCCCGCTATCAGCACGTGCTTCACGGCGGTCCACTTGGTCTCCTCCGGGCCTTTTCGCGCCGCATCCAGCACCGCCCGCGTTTTGTTCTTGAGAAGCGCTCGGAGGGCCGCCAACTTACCCCGGTCCGACTAGATCCCTAAGAGCTCCACCAGGTCCTCCAACTCCCTTCGGAAGCTCCGTCCGTCCCCGTCTTCGAATACCTTTTGGCCAGGATAGATCCGTCCTGGTCACGGTACCAGTTATAATCCACAAGGCGTGCCTCGGAAATTGTTTGTTTTTTACTATTGGCGAGGAACAAGCGATGTCAGAGCACAGGACCAACAACTGTTCCCCGTTTTCCGAGCGACACGAATCGAGGCCAAAAGGTCCTTCTTAATGCGCCTCTTTCAATGGTAACTAACATATTCTCGCATTTGTCTCACGCTAAATTCATAATATCAGCCCGACTTGCTTTACGTAAGTGGTTGTGTAGTTTATGGTAGAAGTTATCTTTGACCGTCTCTGAGCTGTGGTCGACGAGTCCACAGTACACTGAGACAACAAATAGGTTGCGTTTATTTGGTCGAAACTGCTCACTTTGCACGAAACTCTAAATCCGACTGTCGACTTAGATTCAGACTAACAGTGCCACTTCAGCCCTTTCACTGGGAACTATGCCAACGCCAGCAAGAATAGAAGCTGCATCATCAGAATTCCCAGAAAGGCGGAAGTGAAACTCCACAAAATTATTGAGTGAATGCGTCAGTCGGACAATGGAATCAGTGTCGTGAATGAAACACACGTCGGTGGCAAGGAAGTGAAGCGTGCGGGCGAAATCCGCCTGTTGTAGTGTACGCATCAGGGTTCGCTCGTTAAACGAGGCTAGTTTGAATTGGACATCGAGGACAAATGAGGGCATCAGCCGGTAGTGGTGCGTTCGGTGAGACTTGAAAGCTAGTCGACGAAGGACGAGAGAAGACATGGCCTGGACTACCACCGGTAGCACTACACCTGGCGCAGTTGAGCGTTTTCAAGGAAAAGAATCTAGGAAGAAAGTGGAGGTGGAAAACGAAGTTCTTGTCTATGATGTAAAATAACGATCACGCGTGCGCGCGAGAGAGCAGTCAGTCATTTTGTCAGCGATTTCTCTTATACTACTCGGTCGAACGGTTTAGAGTAGGTCTCTTTGTTCGGGGATACATCTCTACTTTTTTCACAGCAGTGCGCTTCGTGTAAAGTAGCAGAGTTCGTCCATGTGAGCCAGTGGTCAATTGTATAGGTGATACGTCTGTTCTAAGGAACATTGGTGGCTGCAACACAGCAAAGAGCTGTGGCCTTATTTAGTGGTGAGCCGCACTCGTCGCGTCACGGTGCGGTCAACAGCTTTTTGTGGCGTTTCAGAGTGGAGAATGCTAGTCAAACGGAAATCTCACCACATCCTCAAACACTGCCACTAATCGTCTACGATCGCTTATTCTGGTGAGTACACTTTATCCACGGGCAGGCACAGGATCGGCCGTTACACTACCGGTGACCTGGGGTCGCACTTTGAGTGCAGCTACTCATCGCATGCTGTTGGACCACAAAATTTATTCTCCTAAAACGTCGCCGCGACTTGCTGGTTATGGTACATCTGGTAACTGCTTGAGAATGCCTGGTATCACATACGAGTTTGCGAAGATGCATCATGTTCTGGTTAGACTGAACAAATTACTGAGATACCAAACGGGGGTACATTTGATGCCGTTGTACACAGGGTAATCACTGGCGGATCGGTGGTCTCAGTTGGAGAGGGAACAGGTTGAACTGATTGATGGTATCTTCGTACAGTATTTTAAACAGCAAACATTGACAGGTTCATTTATTTTGTAATTGAAATTCCTCACAATTCGGTGTAAGTTTTATCATTTGGAGGGTAAGTTATATGTAGGGTGGAGTGGTATCAGTTTGGAAATTGAACAGACCAATGTACATACTGTCGCCAGTAATAGTTATGGGATAGTAAACTTCTGTTTGGCGTTTGAAAGGCAGACGGTCAATGCGATTTGATTATCTTGGGCCTGTCATGTCATGGCGTGCTAACCTGGATAGCAACATCCCCATGGCTTGTTAACAATCAACACATGGACAATATGAAGAATACAAATTTTCTGTCAATAGAAAACGTATCAGTCAATGTTTAGCTGAAGGCTTATAAACAACCTCTTCGACTGCCTCTTCTGGTGAGATGACAACTCAAACAAGTTAGATCCAGGGTAACATGTGACACAAAACCAACCGCTTTTGATTTTAAGGGTAAATGCAATAATTCATACAGAGCAGTTGCGTGATCAGGGGAACACAATAACACATGATGCATCTGTTTGGAACCAGGATATTATAATAAAGCAGTCTATTTTATGATAGATTGTGTTGAACCAGTCATTTACCTTACGAGGATAAGCACAGTTCAAACGCCAAACCGCATTAAAGTAAGTTTTGCTTCAGAGAGAAAAGATCAGCGTTATTGCATTTCTTTAGCGCAGCTTCGTAATTCACTTTAGGTCACTCGGTATTTGAGCACTTGAATAATTTATAACTAAAAATTTCACTAATTCTCAGCATCACCGTTCCACTTACCACAGAATAGACTTAACTGTTGCTTCGTTTTCATTAGAAGTCATCAACAGTACATATCCAATGAATCCACTCGGCTCGTTTCCTGCCAATGAACAGTATCTTTTGTTGCATACGTACACGGTTATTGGTTTCTTGACATTTGTAAATATGCATGAACCGGTGACATATTTCTGTCAATGATGTATAAACTACTCCATGTGAGCGTACGATCTCAAATAGGACGACGCGCATTCTTTCCCGAAGATCGGTGTACTCTTGGTGGCTTTGTTCATAAGATTTCACTGCTTCCAGTTGTCCATTAAACCTTATCTAACCTGTTGTGTACATCATTTATTCCTTATTTACCCTTTGTCCGATGTACTCATCTTCTCGCCACACGGATGATTTCCCTCCCCGCGCAGATCTCAACCATATCATAGAAGAACCAGAACAAATGCATCTTGTTGGTGAACGTTTGGTTCGAGAATGGGACCAGTCTGCAGAATGTCAAAGGTAAACCAGCTGATCCAGTATGCTTTCAGACCACCACTTTTAATGTACTAGCGCAAGATTACTTAGCCCTGGTTCCGATCAGTGTTTTTATATTCCCGAATCCCAAGAACTCTGACCTCAGTGTTGTGTTTTATTGCTGATCACGTCTTGTTTTTGAACGGCTGGCTGGAAACAGTTTTGTAAAATAAAGTTATTTTCGTCAAAGGTTTATACATACAGTAGTTGCGATGCCTCAGATAAAACTGCATATTTCACCCCACAGCAGTAGAACTTGCAAGCGCCCGTAAGTCGCGATGGGACGGTCAACAAGAAAGACATTCTTGGACCTTAGTGATAAAGTAAAGGTTATTAATTTGCACAAGAATGGAGCTTCTGTGAGGAGCATTGCATCCTAATTTGTCGTAGGGAGAACACGAGTCCACATGGTTCTAAGAAATGAAACTAACATCAAAACTAGTCGGGACCAAGGGACTTCAAGTCCGAAAAAAAGGCTGCATATACATCTGGGTTGCTTCAGTAATGTCAATGGTGCTGAGCATAACTAGTTTGTCACTGCTCGTTGGAATCATCTATCGGTGACAAAAAAGCTACTAAAAGAGAAAGCAACATAGCTGGCTCGTACTATTGAGCATAGTGATTTTTGCGCGAGGAATGACTAGTTATACACATTCGAATAACACCATAATATCTCAATACAACTGGACAGTGGTGCTTTAAAAGTTTCGATAGAAGAGCTGTCAAACTAGCTGGAACGCGTTCCTACTTTGCGCAAATAATATGATTCGAAGAACGTTTCTACCTGTGATGAAACTGGTCTTTTTAGAGCCGCTCCAACGCGTAGCGTGGTTATAAAAGGCGATCTATGCAGTGGCATTGGGAAATGAAAGAAAGGAGACAGTAAAGCAGGAAATAAGTAACACTGGATTCCACTCTGATAAAATAGATTGCTACCGAAGGTTTATTTCTTGCCGTATTTCAAACGCGATGGTACCAGTAATCTCAATTGAACCTTTTGGAAGTTTGTTGGGTACTGACACCTTCACTTCGTGTTTTTTACTGTGTTGCTTGCCTCTTTCATGAACGACCCTCCCAAGAGCGAACTAATTTGATGGGCCCTAATGACGCTTGCTGTAGGAGAGAGTTGAAGGACACTGTAATCATAGTAAACGCAAAAATGGATGTTCACAATAAGGTTAACTTCCCAAATTGTGGAAAGCTTATATTGTTTGAAATGGTTTATCGGAGTTACTGATCAAATGAAATTTGTGCGTTATTATGGGTTTTGTATCTGATTCTCTTTCTGTTATCCGCTTGCAACAATGTTTTGTATGTCGTAATGTGTATCTCAGCGTACTGACGATGAATTACGAGCTGTTTTATTCATATGTTCATGCTAGAGCTTTACACTGCATTATTTGATCGCTATTGTCTCCACACATCCGGTTCATATATGGCCTCAGCTTTGTTAACAGTCTGTGACATTTTTATATTTAGGGGACGAAAATTCTCCCTAGCGATCAGAAGTCTTTTTTGGTGTCCTAATGTACCTGATAAGAAATGAGAACGTTTTGTCCCCGAAACATTTCTGACATTTTTTTTCCTCTTAAGTTGTTTGCCGCGACCACCTTTCTGTAATCGAGTCGTGTATGATGATGTAAATCAAACTAGAAGTTTGCAATGATTCTTCAGTGAAGTTAGTGGCAACAACCTCGAAAATGCTCACTAGAGCCAGAAAACATTACCACCCGTAACTCGTCTTTGTGTACAAATAGGCAAAAGTGATGTGCTATCCAAACGTGTTAATGCCGCATTTTAGAATGCATTGTTTAGGACCGAGTTCGGCCGTATGATTCAGGTCAACTCTGTTAACCTTCCCAGCAAGGACTCCTGTCAGTAACGACAGGCTGACTGAGAGTTAGGGTTTGATATGATTGCGTCCACTGCAAATATGACGTGAAGTTTCTTCTCGATGTCAATAAATTTACGAACCGCAATAACACAAAATATCTTATACTTCTTCGGGATCGTGAATAGTTTGAGTGATTCATTTTCATTTTCTGTACTCGCCCGATAACCCGTATTTTAGTCGATCAGTGTTCTCAAATTAGCCACCTATTTTTCTGCTAAGCTATGAGAATGCTGTTTGATTTTGTGCTTTTTAACACTTCAAAACACCAACAACTGCTACCCGCAGTTATTTTCAAAGTGATGCTCACTCACCATGAGGTCGAACAAGTGTTGAGATTGTTTCGGCTTGGAAGCCAATAGCTCAGTTGAGAAAACAGTACAGAGACGCGTTCACAGGGGTTGGAAAAATATCTATTATCACCTTAATTAGGGTTTTAAAGAACGAAACACTGGTGAGTTGATAGCACTGTAGTAAATTGCTACGTAACTGTCGTGTGGTTACTTTCTACAGAACAACAACATTGAATAAACGCGCACATTTACTCACGTCCTTTGGTATCCAAAATGACCTACATTTAATTTTTCCTGTTTAGGTACTCATCTTTAATGTCCACCAAATTTCCGCTTTTATGAATAATAATCAAGAATACAAACAAGTGTTACCAAAGATGGTATCATTCACGAGAGCAAACAGCCTGGAGTTGTATGATAAAATCTAAGATTAAACTCGAGTGCTTCCTTCCCAGATTTTACCTTGTCCCTTAAATCAAAGATAAAACAATGGAACATGTTCAGCTGAGGAATAATATGTTTGCTTCAAGTGATAAGCGTCTATTCAGTCACAGATTGAGCTCTAATCTTATTAAGATTCCGTCCATCCTTCATATTTGACAGCTGGACATGAATTAATTATTTGTGGCACTCCAGCCCGTGAATGCAACAAACATGGAACTGTTTTGAATGAGGCAGCTTTGAATAGCTCTGTCGATCTGAGGGCTAGATCTCCAGTTATTACGCTTGAGCATTTGTTGCTGGGATGAATATCTGTGAAAAGACCCATAAATTTTGCAGTAAAATTGAGCACGAAATTGAGTAGCGAAGGGCTAAGTCCACATTATATGATTCGTCACGCGGTATCAGCGCTCAACTCGCCACTGGGAACCGTGAGAGTACTGCGCAGTCGATAAACTACATCCGATGTCAGTCCATATCGGTCGAATTCCAGTTTTTACTACTGCCAAAATAGCCAGTAGCCACATATGCGACCACCGTGAATCAAGGGACAAATTGAATGGAGTGTGCTAGCTATCGAATAGTTAATGGTTCATTTCGTACTTCGTTTTTTGCCACGAACGTCTTCCAAGAGGATAAATAAGTGTTCCGAGATTTCCATACCGTCGTAGGGCCTGTGGTCATTGTGAATTAGTTTGCTACTTTGAGTCAACGCTTTGAACATAGGAGAGAACTGACGCGTCCAGTAAAGAATTGATACCTTACCACAATTGAGTTCCACATTCGCTGATTGCTGAACCAAACGTTACTAATAACGTCCTCGTCTTCTAACCTCTAATTTCATTCAGCATTTCCTCTTCCGTTCCATGATTCTACTCTAAGAGATATATGGATTTCAAACATTTAGAATGCATTGAGAGGATAAATCATACGGAATGAGGGTAATAAAATACATCATTTCGGTTTGCACTGCGCATAAGGAGTAAAGCAGATTTGCAGCACCTAAGAGGAAGCACTGTCTTTCCCCTACTTTATTTGAACCATTTCCCTAACCAATCTATTTATTACTTCTGCTGTTTCTGGCTGTAAACCAGTTCTCCCGTGGAGTATCCTACACTACAACCCACCAAAGTATTTTAGCATGGGAGTGCCGGAGTACTGCTGTTTTCCTTTGCATGAAAAAATAACGCACATGCATGCACTGGAAGATCACACACATTGGTGGACGTGATGCATCCTATCCAGTTTATTGTAACTATGGATTACTAACCACCTCTACTAAATCTGTGAGGTGCATATTTATTATATATCGTCCAACTTCCAACTTCATTCCAAATCCACTAGTATTACACAAGCTTCATTCCTTCGGTTGCTTGCTTGGTTTATTGGCATGACATGCAAACAATTTTCTTGGACGTATCCTGAAAACTAGATTTTCTGGTAATTCATCCATATTACCTTTGCACTCTTCAGGCTGCTGTGCTTTCACCTTTTTCTTCACACTTACGAAAGCAACCTCTCGTATGGTTTCTCCGAAACCGAGAGTTAGTATGCTAACGTCACAAATATTTGGCACGCTAAATCAACCAAAGAGGGATAAATAACCCATCTGATAACCTCCAAAACATCTACGAAAAACGTGATGGCTTCACGTGGAGTTACACACGATTAACACCGGCTTAACCTCAAGTCAAATGGATATAGTTGAGTTTGTCTTGGTATGATGCTATCTTCTCATTCCTCAATCGTAAGACGGACAATAAGCAGTTTTCAAACCGCCACCCCATCAAGCAATAGTAGACAACCCAAGAAACCTTCAATATTCGCATTGGTCCCCTTTTCACCGGGCTCCGTTTACCCAATCGCCCTGCTCGCATGAGTGATGCAATGGAGCCAGTCGATACTGAACCTACAACAATTCAAGGTTTATTTGATAAGCTGTCATGTAGCCCTGCGGGACTACCACGGAGGTAAGATACTGTCAGTTCAAAGCCGAACGTAATGGTTGTTGTTTCGCTATTCTATTATTCTGAGGCAGTCGAACTAGGACCACGTGTTATGCTCCGTTCGGTATCGAAATTCTGTCCACCTGTTTTGAGTGTGTTGACTCTGAAAGCGAGGTGGCGCAGTGGTAACACACACGCCTTCGAGATGAAAGGGCCCGGATTCAAACCCCGGATGTGGCGGAGGATATGCACCACCGACGAGCTCTAACAAGAGCGAAACTCCAGTCTGGTACCTCCAAGTGCAGGGTTAGTCGGATGACCTGATGTTTGTGCGTGGAAGGTGGAGTCCAAAAGATAGTCAGCCGAACAAAGACTCATCAGCTTCACACACTACTTGCAAGTGATTGTGTGGCATATAAAGAGGAATAAATAACCCATCTAATAATCTTTAAAATACTCTTAGGCATCATGGACAAAAGATCTTTTATGTAAACCTCTGTTGTGTTTTGAGTTTGTATTCACCCCTCTCTCACTCAACCTTCCCCCGATGCTGAGAATACTCCGCGCACCATTCAGTTAAACAGAGTTCAATCTCTTATGTACCTCGGAGTGTCGGTAAGCGCTGGCATTCTCATGTTGTCAATTGTGTGCGCGAATCGTGCTGACTTATCTTTCAAAGTTGATGGCTCAGGCAATTCTGTATGGTAATTATCAACACACACACTATCTCTCGTGATACCAATAGTACGAAATTGTCATTCGTTGTCACTGGGACTGCCAAGTTTCTTGTTCGTTTTTCCCCAATCTCAATCTAAATGCCCATAAATGTGCTATGTTTAGCTAATTGTGAAGGACCGTTCTCTACCGAACGTTCTGTTGCCCCAGCCGGGTATTTTGGATTAATTCTGCGTTGAATCTACCTTCAGCTTTCCCTTTGTTTCTCAACGCATTTTACAAAGCTTACGCTGTTTCTATCTGGTAATGTTTTCTGTTATCAGCGCTGGATTCGAGGCATTCATGTAGTCAGTAATATATCTTCTCAACCGTATTTTTAACTGAGCAAGATGACCTGTGATTTGCACGTGATTCTATGTGAAAAATTTGGTGGATTCAAGTGAATTTGCACATGATTCACTTGAATTAACAACGGCTGAACCTCAAGTCAGATGAATATAGTTACGCTTGTCCTGTCATGATGCTGTGTTTCCATTCCTCTCACTTTAGAAGAACGATAAGCCGGTTTGAAACCGTCTCGCCCATCCAATCAGTTAGGTGGCTCAAGACGCCTCCAACACTAACAAGTCACACCACATTTCGCACCGTTTCTGTCTTCACCGTGCACCGTTCACCCGACAACCGCGCTAGCATAAGCTATGCAGTCGAGGAAATCGATACTGGACCACTCTACATGTCCTTCGATGATACTCACTTGGAGAACACAGTTTGGCGTACAAGCTCGTTTTCAGTGATTCATAATCATGCCATTACATCACAATATAAAGGGTTGAACCAATTAGATAAATGGGAAGTGATAAAATTAATAATGAAAGGGGTGGGGGAGGAGAAGAAAACTCACTTGCGCGGTGGTTACATGTTAGCTGGTGGCGACCGATCGTGGACGACCGGGTCGTTTCGCCGGTATTACGCTTCCAGTTCCCATTAGTCTGTGCACAGCGTTGTAGCATATTTGGTGGGACGGCCTCGGTCGATCCGGGTGGCGCAGGTGAAACTCCTCGCATGCTTTTCTCAGACTGAGACAGCCAGCCGTAAACACCGCTAGCTCGGAAACCTCCGTAGCAGGCCAGGTCATTGCATTAGTAAAAATGGGACAGTAGGATAGTTGTTCCCATTCTCACAGTGCGCCCCACCAGTGACACTGGAAAGCTGCGCGATATACATGTCGCATGAGACAGATAAGAGCGTGGGCGGCTGAGACAAACTACGGACAACGAGCTCAGCTCCATGCGGTATCGAAATTCAATCCACCCGCTATTGAAACCCGGACGGTCAAAAGGACCACGGAGCAGACGTGCCTTAGTTTGAAGCTGGATAACCGAGTCAACGTATCCGTGTACGTGCGCACGTGCACAATCTAGGAACAGTAGCGATATTAAAAACGGCTGATTGCATGATTTTCAGGGACTGAGCCCCTCTATCCTGAATGTAGCACAAATAGTTCGTGTCTGAACGTGCGTGGTGCTCATATATGATTTGGCAATGGTTCGTTCATCAACAGGAATACAGTTCCACTTGGGTATGCACATCAATGCGCGGTTGACGCGCACATCAGTTATGATACGTAACCAGCCCCGCTGTATCCCACTTTTGTTCCCAGCTTGTGCCAACGTGCGCACGTGCGGAGATACACCCACTTGGTCACACAGCTTTCACTCAAGACCTGTCTGTTCTATGGTCTTTTTGATCGCCAGACTTAGACAACAGGTGTTTCGATCAGTCCCACTAACTTTAGTGATATTTTTTTCCTTCAAATCGTCTCGGTTTATTGGTAAAACAAAATAAATACACAGGTTGCTGGGCTATGAGTCCAGTGATTGCACACAACGCATTAGTTCAACCGGTGTAGGCGACCGGACCTGCAGGCTTAAACACCGCTGATTGGACACAGCCCTCATTCTGAGGCCACGACTTCTTCACTTATCTACTATTGCTTGATGGGGTGGCGGTTTGAAAACTGCTTATTGTCCGTCTTACGATTGAGGAATGAGAAGATAGCATCATACCAAGATAAACTCAACTATATCCATTTGACTTGAGGTTAAGCCGGTGTTAATCGTATGTAACTCCACGTGAAGCCATCACGTTTTTCGTAGATGTTTTGGAGGTTATCAGATGGGTTATTTATCCCTCTTTGGTTGATTTAGCGTGCCAAATATTTGTGACGTTAGCATACTAACTCTCGGTTTCGGAGAAACCATACGAGAGGTTGCTTTCGTAAGTGTGAAGAAAAAGGTGAAAGCACAGCAGCCTGAAGAGTGCAAAGGTAATATGGATGAATTACCAGAAAATCTAGTTTTCAGGATACGTCCAAGAAAATTGTTTGCATGTCATGCCAATAAACCAAGCAAGCAACCGAAGGAATGAAGCTTGTGTAATACCAGTGGCCTTAGAATGATGGTAATCGCTGTAGAAAGATGTAATAAATTAGACATTGAAATTCAACTCGCCATATGAAGAAATGCTTTTAGGCTAGTTTAATCCAGATCCCATGCTCTCCATCGTAAATATTTATTTCTTCTCTACCAAAAGGTTCTTCCGCTTCTTATGCTTTTAACCACTAGTTTCCACGCAGACCACCAGCAATCGTTTCCACCCCCGCGTGATAATTTTCTGTTCAGTCCCATTGCGCCACACAATGAGCCTTGCTTCTCTGGCATGTGTCGATTGACCTTAGTTGTCATTTTTGTAGTTGATTTTCCTATCTGTTTGTATAGAACTCCGATTCTAAACAAATTTAATCGCTTACGTAATTCTTCTCGCTTTTGGGATCGAAACACTTGTATCTATGACCCGTTTTGCTATTACATCATAATGGCCTGGGTTATTTGACAAGGTCCAAATCTTTGGACGTCATTATCTTTCTCCCTTTATCTGTCTTATCTGTATGGATGGCTGCATTTTGCTATACCGTTGTGATCATGGAACTTTCTCATAACGACGTTATTCCGTTTGTTTTTCACCACGCTTGTGTGTGTTCCCTCAGGCCGTTGATTGGTCAAAATACTCTCCATAAATGAAGACTTTCTTTGTAAACCATTTGACTGGCTCCTGCATCGCCGTCTTGAGCGTTTCCTATCTGTTTTTTGCCTGGGTATTCTGAAACCTTTGTTGACTGTCTTGATTCTGTGGTCGGTTTGCCCACAATTTTAGCTACGTTATTGATATTATTTGATACTTTGTCCTATAGTACATGTAGTAAAGCGTGCTTGTGCTCTCTGCCTTGGGACTTCAGTTTCGTTTATCTGCGAGTCAATTAATTACGGGACGACAATCCCGTGCAGTTCGAATGACATTTAGTTAATAAATGTGCACCTAACAGATTTAATAGAGGTATTAATAATCCGTAGTTACAATAAACTGGATGGGATGCATCACATCCATCGATTTGTGATGTTTCAGTGCATGCATGTGCGTTATTTTTTCATTCAAAGGAAAACAGCAGTACCCCGGCACTGCCATGCTAAAATACCTCGGTTGGTTGTTGTGTGATACGTCAGTTACTCATTAAGGATGCCCTGGAAGAATTGGTTTGAAGTCAAAAACAACAGAAGTAATAGATAGATTGGTTGGAAAAATGGTTCACGTAGGACGACAGTGTTGTGTTTCCAGTAAAATACTACAGTTCTAGTTTACTTTTCTGGCGTGACGCAAAACAGTGACGTAATCTATTACTCTCATTGCATATCATTCATACACTCAAAATATTATCTTTTTAATTCGAAAGTCATGCGTCTCGTAGGGTTGAGCCATGGAATCAAATTGGAAATACCAAATTAAATTACAAGTTGATAGACGAATACGACAGTAGCAGATTTTGGTGTAGCAATTGGCGATAAAGGGAATCAACTTATTGCATATGATGTAGTGAGTGGTAATCAGATGGCAACCGAGACCAATATAGTTCGTAGCGAATTGATCTAATCGCAGAGAACACCATAAGGCAATAAGACGGTATGGACATCTCGGTGCAGTTTTTTATCTACTTGGAAGACGTTCACAGCGGTCAAAAAGTAAGCAGCGGTGTCATTGATCCTCCGCTCACGGACTAACTCCATCGGGATTTCCTCACCGTCGATAGTGACTATTCCAATTCTGGCTACTGACAATATATTCTTAGTAGTAAAAGCGGGAATTCGGACTCAATTTACAGACTCTACAGCCTTGTCACCCTTGTTGATAACTGTCAGCATTGTACTAACCTATTACATATTTTTGTCAGCAGGCTGGAGCTCCCTTGGGTTTATGTTTACATTGTAAGAAGAAAACTCTGATAAATATCTGGTTTATGGTGGAAACGTGACAAAGAATCCTTATGGCGTAAAATTTCTACATCTGATAGGCTATAACAATCCGCTGCAATACGTATTCTTCGGGAAACGTTCGCTGAAGAGTAGTAATTGTCCATAATATCATTCTGTCTCGTACTTAAGAATTCGCCTCAAAGAATTTGCATGCTCTTCTCTGTAAAAATAAACCAGCGCAACTCAAAAAGTGTATTCCACCACCGATGTTCCCATTTCATCTGCAGTGTCCTGAAGGAAGCGAACGCGATTGCTAGCGGTCTTTCCGAAAGCAGTAACAATTTGCACAAACCAAAAAGGCGGAAAAATGCATCGGAGATTAGCTACGCCGTCCCGTTCTGCAGGCAATTAAATCAAGTTTGCTGGCGTACATCCGTTAATTTGTTGCGCGACCCTTTGGCATCGATTGTACAAACGGTGGTCTACCTGTTTTTCGCTATTTCCATGGGAACCGTTTATTTCAAAATGAATAAATCTCTGGAATCCGGTATACAAAATCGTGCTGGCCTGTTCTTCTTTTCAACGCTCCAAGTTGTATTCGTTAACCTCGGTTCCATCGAGCTGTTTATTAAGGAGCGCGTGTTGTTCATGTAAGTCCTCCGACAATTTAGTTTCGTTTTGTTAACACGGAAGTTATACCCCGATGAAACAAAAATCTTTTGATGTTAACTTACCTCGACCAGATCTAAACCTCTCGTGATTCTCGCGCACTGTTCGTGAGCGATGGATATCGAATGAAGTGTCGTTGCGTATACAGAAGGCTCGTTTGACATTTGTCAATCTGAGTCATCTGGTGCATCGACATGACATCCGTCTATTTGTCATAGTTCAAGTGTGTGGTTCAGAAACGTGGCTACTACGGATGGATAATGTACGAGGATTTTCGGTATTTGAGCACCGATGTCTTCGTTGCATTGCTCGAATCTGATAAGAACACCGGATAAGCAATGCTGAGGTTCGGCGGATTCTTATGTTCACGAACCAAATCACTAGAGTAAACACTAAAGGTCATCAGGCTAAGATGATTGAGGCATGTGTTGTGCATGTCCCTTGACTGGATTCCTCGGGCCGCCATTTTCACCTAGGCAGGTAACGGTTGGAAGACGAGTAAGGGTGGTACTTCTAGGACATGGAAGAGAGGCATGAAAAACCTAACCCGTGGACTTGGCCATGTAGGGCGTGTTAGACTTCGTCGGTCGGGTCCAAGAGACTCTCCCATTCAATCGTTATACATGTTAGAGGATATAGTTAGGTGTCGTGATCAGTGGCTCTTCTGTATTCACAAACTTTCTTCATCGGCTTGATATCAATATTTGTAGTTCTTCTATTACCCCTTTAATATTCCTGCTCCTTCCCATCGTTTCCAATTGATGCTGTCTCCAGGAGATAGCAGCCAAAGCCACCGCACCCAGCGCATGGTTAATGGTTGTCTAAACTGAACTTATATATATATATATATATATATATATATATATATATATATACATATATATTATATATATATATATATGTGTGTGTGTGTGTGTGTGTGTGTGTGTGTTTAGCATGCAAACTAAGACCGCTTATTGAAGGCTCCGGATCTCATTCATTTGTCATCGGTTGTTATGGTCAGATACAAAAGCATACATTTCAGATAATCCACCGTTTTAAGGACTCGATTTACACAGGTTATGTTTTTGAACTTCTGCCTCCTTGTGTGAGTAAAGCAACTTTCTTAGTACTTACGATTTTATGAGGTTGGTGGCAGATGTAAACTGGGAGGAGAAAACATATCCCTTTCATAGCGACAAGATGAAGGAAATGTTTTGACCCAAGGATAGGCGTCATTACCAGGTGCCGCTATCAGTCGTGAAATTATATGCGCGCTCTTTTATCATCCTTCCTGTTATCAACGGAATCCATTCTTACATTTTCCACACTCTTGTGTTTTCTTTTTATTTTATTTTTGCTAACGGGTAGTGAATTACATGCCATGGTAGTATTGTACTGTCAGACTCATGCAAGCATCAAGCCAACATTCCAACAACGAAGAAGGTTCACTGGTTGTGATACAAGGAAGTCAGGTGAGAGTCACATATGCATGATTCTGAAGAGATTTTCACGCACTCGACAGTGACCGCAGTTTTGTTCACCAGCGCACGACCGAGGTACAGCAGCGAAGAATTTCTGTACAAGTTTATTCTGGTGGAAACAATACAGATTAGGGAGTTATCTGAGTAGTCAGAGCGCCATTTCGAAAAATTCTCATGGAGAGGGTGAATAAGGTCATCGAGAATTTTCAGCGCAAGATGGACAAAAGCAAGCAAACCACATACCTTGTTGATCAGATCCTCAAACGGGATGGAAGATGCGCGAGTGATTAAAAGCAGACCTCGATGAAACATGACGAAATCATTCTTTTAATATGTGGGATCGGTGGAGAAACGAAGGAATTGTAAAATTAATTTGGAATTCCCTGAGCTGCAGTTTTTGCGTTCAGTTGAAAACGTGAGACGGTGAATAAAGACCGACTTAACGTCAACCCCAGTTACCTGATGAATTCAACTCTGTTCCCAAAAACTCCCAATGTTTTAAAGAATATCAGATAGATTATGAAAGTCTTCTTTGGTTGATACAGCATGACAGTTATGTCTTCGTCATCTACGTACTTACTTGCTGTCCCAAGGGGTCTAGATAGGAAGTCGACGACATTAGCGGAAAAAATAAAAAGCACAACACCTTGAAGAATTTGTACTGCCCGCCCGCAAATCTGATGTTTTGGTTTATTCTCGAAAGAAGTGAACGAACTAATAAACTAGGTGGGCAACCAAAGGAGTTAATCTTTTGTGGTAGGGATGTACTTTAGGCGGTCATAAGCAGAAGTATAGCCAAGAAATATATATTACTTTATTGTGCACTGAGCCCAGAGTCAGGCATGGTGCCAATATTGCAAATGCGCATATGATACTGCATCAAGCGTTTATAAGCAAATTGGAAGTGGTCAGAAAGAATCTTAATAGGCATTATAGGTCGATTAGGTTGGACACGCTCAGCGAGTGTCAGGAACTTTGAAGTTCGAACAACGGGATGAAAGAGTGTAGAGAGTATTTTGCATGTTGTTAGATTGAGTATTTAAACGATTGCTGTACCTTCCCTGCAGCGTGGGATAGGGCATGAATTAAGGATAATGTTTATCAATGATTCGATGACTTTTATTTTATCATGAGCTTCATACCTAATAATGCATGAGGATAGAGCGTTTGAACCTGTCGTAGGTGTTATTAGGCAGGTTACGAAGACGGAACTTTATCTGCTCGAATTGAATAGACATACTATGATCTGAGCGAGAGTACATTTCCGGTGTAAAAAGAATCCCATAGTGATCACGACGGCAGATAGAAGCCCGCAGCTTAACAGAAAGTGTATTAGACTGGTTGGAGAGCACCCTGTCAGTATTTGCATCATTTCTGGTGGGCGTGAGGGATAAACGATTCAATCTAAACGTATTTAACGGAATCACAGACACAGTTGAAATCTCCTACGGTTAGATGTTGGTCATCGTACAATAAAGGTAAAATAAGGGTATGAACGAACAGAAGAACAATAACGTCAGACCGAGAAGTCAATGGAGCAATGTCATCGTTCCTAACAACAACGTTAACGAAACCAGGAAATTTAGGATGACAGAGCAGATAAACAGTCAGTACTACAATGTAAATACGTGAAGACGACTTTTGACTTGCCACACCGTGAAGAATTGGTGTATGCAACAAAGCCTCCGACGGTCGTTTTCTTGTATCTGTGTATGTGTGTCTGTGTGTCTTTCCGTAAGTAGTCGAAGCTATCGATGGACACAATAGAACCCTCTACGCTTGTGTTAAGTCAGGATTCTTGTACGCATACTATGCATGAATTTTGGGGTTGTGGGATAAATTCTTTTAAGTAAAAGCGGTGAGTGGACATAATGTGATCTCACGGAAGCCTGACCTCGATAGTGCAGATCAAGGTCAGGTGTAGCGCAATCAGTCAAAGGCGTTGCGGTTCACACGGTTATAAGTTGCACGACCTAGCCCTCGACAGTTTGCCTTAGCAGTGAGTGATAAATGAATATTTGGTGCTTTTACTTCGAACTGATCGGTTCCAGTTGTTGGTTTTTCATAAGCCGTGACGCGCTCTTGTTGACGCCTTACACTCCTCGATGGTTTCATTTTGTTATCCACTAGATAATCTGTGTTCTGTACTTGTACTCCGCAAAACGTTTCCTGGTTTATTCTGAATGCACTATTTCTACTTGGTATGAATTCACTAAACCTTTCTAAGGATAACTTGTATCGCCTAATCAGCTAGATGGTCGCGGTTTCCGTAATATTATGGTGTTCCATTTGACTTGAAAATTCTATTCTCGTTCAGACATGAAAACTCAAGCGGGTACTATCGAGTATCGGTCTATTTCTTCTCGAAAATTATGTGCGACATACTTCCGACCAAAGTGCTTCCCGTCTTGGTATTCATGCCTATATGTTACTGGATGGCCGGACTGCGCACGGATGCCGCAGCATTCTTCTTTTTCGAACTGATCCTCAGTTTGACTACTCTGGCCGCGGCTGCAATCGCTTTGTTCATCTCAGCCACCTTCACCCTGTTCGGTATCGCGAATGTGGTGGTCTCGATCGTTTATGTCTTTATGATGGTGCGTTTTTACCACTGTTTCTTGTATACGAAATGACCGTTTTAGAAGGGTGCAAACAGATTCCGTTAGGCTAAATACCATCAAAAACAGGGTGGAAATGCTTTTATTCTCTGGATCGTCAGTAAACTCATGCAATATCTGCGATCCATCCGTTTTTGACTTCAGAAATTAAGATTAATTGTTTTAATTTGCGCCTGAGCATTGTATCGCGAATTTCAAAAAGCATATTTTGTGTAGCCCACTTTTATGCGATACCGTTCGGAGTTGTTGCGTATACTAACTGCTTGGGAGCTTAGGGTGGCACAGTTTTTCCTAAATCATATTTGTTCTCTTATTTTTTACTGTGTGGCTCCGGAAGTTTGTTAGGTTGAAATACCTGTGATCTCAATGAAGTCGAATGGTTCACAAATGTGTTGCAGTTCAATCTGTGCTGTTTTGTGATTTCAGGACGGAGATTCTAATTTTCCATAACACCCTTTGGTTTGGGGATTCCTACCAATGTTGCCAACAAGACTGAGCATCGGTATACGGGAGAAATATAGTTATCAGTACTGAAATACGTAAATTTTGACTTAACAACAAAGTAAATAACGGGTAAATGTGACACTTTAAACTTCTGGGTTTTATAACCCATTTTCCTGTCCTTATGGGATGGTTTAATGAATATTTACTGCTAGTAGTTCTCACGAGAGTTAAATAGCTGTGTTCATAAGACTATTAACTAGTGGGCAGTGTTATTCCCGAGCATTGCGTAGATTCACAATCTTCCATATCAGTTGCACCATTTCTTTCTAACTGTTCCAATTCTGAAGACATTAGGCAACTTGCTGTGGGTTCCTAAATCGCTCCTTTATCGGGGTGAAGTGGCGGCACTATGTGCCCCTTCTTAACAATAGACGGGGAAGTATCGCATACACATACCTGGTGACCGGTAAGAACCGCGAAATCGGTCGTGTGCTCCCAAGAATCTGTGTTCATTCATCTATAGATGATACTCACATTAATTATGCACCATTCGTATTGATATTGGCACAACCCTACTAAACAGGCAGGGTAGTTTGCAAATCTGACATGTCTGGTCAGTTCAGTTCAAAACGGCCAATACCCACGCACGGGTTGCGGCAGGTTTGGTTGCTATCTCAGCGGGAACCTCAATCTGAAATAACTACTAAGTTAAACAAAACAGGGCAGAGACGAACACTACTTCGCTTGGTGAACGCAGGTGGGAGATTGCCGTAATCCCGATTTCGGCTACGGCTATTCGTGCAGAGAATCTGTAGTGGAAATGAATTTATTTGGTGCACCGTTCGATAGGAAACAGTGCCAGAGAATTGTGTGGTCGACTGAATCGAATGCCATTTGAAGTCATGGTAAGACAGATACTGGTCCTAAGGAACTTGTCTCTGTGTCCTAAACTTTGTCGACGAGTGACGATATGATCCAAACAACCTATACCAGGTCTAAACCCGGCTTGATTATCAGACGAGCGTCAGATAGGCGGCGATGAATAATAGCAGCGAGCAGTTTAGATGCGACCCTAGCGAAGCTTATTCCCCTGGGGTTTTCACAGGGTGAGGGCGATCGCCTTTCCTATAAATCGATGCAACCACCGATTCACACCAGCTCTTTGGACCTTTTCCCCTCGTCCATATCAGACCAAGGAGTCGTTTTTAATTCCCGGGTCAATGTTGAGTCATCGTTCTCATCGGTGGTCGAGTGGTCTAAAACGTTTGCCTACTACCTCGGATGTCAGAAGTTCGAACCCCACCACCGCCGGTTACTTTGATGGCAGACGGTAATCCACTGTCGTCCGATTCATTATCACATCCGACCAACTTGGACTTTATGTGGTTCTCCACTCCAAGTCTCAGGGGCCGGTTGTCGGTTATCCCTAAAAGTGGAGTGGGGCATCGCTCAAAGATCTAGTCCAAGCTCCTCGGTCTGAATTAGTGAGCCGTTCGCCTCTTTGATCGGTTCACTAACGCCCGACTTTCGTGGACCAGTATATCCAACTAGACGGATTACGTTACGAGTAATGCATTCTTTTACATCTCCTTACACTTCGAAATCTAACGCTGCTCACGATCGTTAGGCTCCGAATCGGTTGGCATCAAAAGCACTTGCGTATCTCATCATATCGGGAATCCGGATGGACCGGTCTTCGCGCACCGAGAAGTGGAACTGAGGATGCAGATATCCATCGTTTTTGCACGTGTCTGCTTCTGTAGCGTTCTACAACATTGGCAGGCTCAAGTAGGACCTCCTTGATCTCTGTCCCTCGTCCATCTGGATACTGGGCATTTGACTGCGTCTGTAACCTCGTGGATAGTTCTCTTTGGAATACATCGGTGGTTATCGTTTACTGGCGGTTGCGGGGTACGATAGACTTTGGCTCTGGTTCGGCCATCAGTGAGATGTAGGCAAAAACACGTGTGGACAAGAGCATGGCCAGTGCCTACAGATGTGGATCAGGTTGATCGACAGCCTTGAATTGGTTCGCAGCATAGGTAACCGATAGCAATGTGGTCGGTCTGAGGTCAACGCTATGAAGGCAGAGTGGGATGCCAGGTGAGGCGGTGCCGAGGTAATATGTGCTTGCTAGGAATAGTCGACGGTCTCATTCAGGTTTCTGAATTAAACAGTGAACTCGCCAGCAACGATCATTATGTTCGTGGACCAGTTGAGATGAATCATGGTAGAATACATTTTTGATCTCAGGAGAACTTCAGCCATCTGGGGCACATACAGAAACGACAAAAAACATCAAGGCTGGTGTGGTCGGTAATGCCGAAATAATTGAAGTGTGCTTTGTATCTCTGTCGTCCGGATTACTGCCATGCGTGACCTATTGGTACACTAAGTGGGTCTTGTTGGGGAGACAGTTCAGTTCCCCCAATATTGAAGCGCAGATTACAATAGCAATATTATTTCCCTCAAAAATATCTTACTTCTCAGGTCGTTCGAATTATTTATTTTTGTTAACTTGAATCTGTATCTCATCGCGCCACGATATGTTGCTAACATACATGTTGCTTCTCTCCGATTTATTGGTTGCCCCAGCTGCCCATCGATTCCCAAGGTCGGGTTGCTCCTTCCTAATCGAACCTACATGAGCAGCCGAGTTCATTGCTCTTCGACTTGGGCGCTCAATGAAACAATAAACCTTTACCTGTCGGCACGGTAATCTGCGTTCTCATTCAAGCTAGTGGGTGGTCCAGCTTTGACAATTGCGTTACCATATCCGGTCAAATATTGCGATTCAACGAACAGTCGTTATGCTGGTGCATGTTTAGGTGACACTCGAGCGCCAAATATCTGTTTGATTCTTTAAGAAATTGCAACATTCAGAGATTATTGTGAAATACACAACTAGTGTCCACTTCTAGTCTCGGATCGGGTTGTCGGTTATCCCTAATAGTGCAGTGGGCTTTTGATACTATGGTGTATACCCCTTCCACTGCATTGATGTGCATGTATTAAAAAAATTATGATCAGAATGTAAAATGTGATGATTTTTGCAAATTACCATTGCAGGCATTTCCAAGAGAGCCGGAAAATTGGGGGAGCAGCTAGTGCTTGTCTACTGGGTAATGATCAGATCATCGTTTGTTTAGATATTTAACTTCATCCTCTGGCTAATACAGTTACATATATATACGATAGGAATGCATATTTTCGGAACAAAATTCAGGGTATTTACAGTATCAAACTAAGATTGGTCAATCAATATTGTAGGTGTTTTGCGGTTCGGAAAAGGGGTGGGAAGTTGGTTGTTCGTGGTTGGGAAAACTCGGTGTAGAAAGTACATCTGGAGTGGGTTGGCTGCTTTCTGTCACGACTGGAAGGTCGCAGTCGAGGTCACCATGATTTTGTCCCCCACTTTCCGATCGCGGCCAGGGTAGCTGCAATGATTTGATAAATCGCTTTTGTGAACAAAGCGATGGATTTAACAGCCTAATCGCTACTGCCTCCGCTGATCCCAAAGTGATTTGGCGAACGATCTTCGAAGAATTCACAAGCACTTTGTAAATTATCTTGAAGGCTTCGTTGTCTACCTGGTGCCCTGTCTCAGCAAGGTGCGCTACGATCATCATCATCATCATCGTACAGCGTTAAACAGTAGGGCAAGCCCCACTGACCACTGCCTTTCTCACCATGTTGCACGTTGAATTAGAAAGTATGAATATACAAGATGGAGAGGGAGTGGACCTACACGGGTAGCAAAAGGAAAGAATGCCCTAGTAGCCAACACACGGAATACACAGTCTAACTGTACAAACGCACATCTATCAATCATTCTGATTCGATAGAAAGCGACAACACGATCGCCACTGCTCGCGGTTCGCTGCCATATCCTTCAGTGTCTCCAGCCAACTGGTAGACGGATCTTTTGGACCCCAACCACGAAGACGTGAGGCACCTACTTTTCCTAAGTTTGCTGTACATTTTCTCATTCCTCGCTGCCACGTGGTCTGTTGACCTCCACGTGGTCTTTTCCACTCCCTGGGAGGAACGGAGAATAGGACACGGTATGGTACACGTGTGTTTGCCATACGTAACACGTGTCCCAACCAACGTAGTCTACTAAGCTGGATACGCTGTGACAGAACTTTCTCTGAATTAGTACCCAATACTCGCTTTCTGACCTCATCGTTGCTTACTCGGCTATTCCACCCAATCCTAGCGATACTACGTAAACATCGATGGTCGAAAACCTCGAGACGACGAATATCTTCAGCACGCAGACTCCAAGTTTCGCAACCATACAACAAAACTGAACGCACTGCAGCACAGTATACACGGCCTTTCAACTTCAGTGAAATATCAGGTCGGCGCCACAAGTGCTTCAGTTTAGCGTACGCCGCTCGAGCCTTGGATATCCGCGTACTCACCTCTACTACAGTGCTCCCATCCGTCGTCACGCATCTACCGAGTTAGGTGAAGTGGTCGACAACGGACAGCACCTCCCCATCGAGCATCAAGCTCGGAATCGCTGACGTCCAGTCTTGTAACATCACCTTGCACTTTGAAGGTGCAAAGCGCATGCCGAATGGAGCTACAGCTCTTGCGAGACTATCCAGTGCACCCTGAGCGTGTTCCGTGGATTCGAACAAGCAGACAACGTCGTCTGTGTAGTCTAGGTCACATAGCTTTTCACTATTTCCTAGTTGGACGCCTACATCCTGAAGATTTTGCAGCGCACTCTCCATTATTTCGTCCATGACGAAGTTGAACAGGAATGGAGACAAAGGGCATCCCTGCCGAACACCACTGGTCGTTTCGAACCGACCGGATAGTTCACCGTAGACTCTAACGCGGCCAGAAGTATGAGAATACAATGATCTCAGTAGGTTCACGAACTTCTGGGGCATACCTTTTCGATGAAGAGTACTGAAAAGCGATGTTCGATCAACTGAATCGAAGGCGCCTTTCAAGTCTAAGAAAATCATTATTGTTGGTCGGCGGTGCGTGTGACGCGTTTCAAGTAGTCGGCGAAGAGTAAAAATCTGGTCGATGCATCCTCGACCTGGGCGGAATCCTGCCTGCTGTTCGCGGACATTCCTCTCGCGAGCGGGTGTAAGACGATGCAGCAAAATCGAAGCTAATACTTTGGTGACTATCGGGATTAAGCTAATCCCACGATGATTACTGCAGTCATTGCGTATTCCCTTCTTGAAGATGGGAACAATCAATGACTCACTCCATATTAACGGAATACGCTCCTCGTTCCAAATGTCACGGAGCAAGACGGTAAGTGATTTTATCAACGCCTCACCACCCAGTTTGAAAAGAACTGGGGGAAGTTCGTCGGGACCTGCCGCTTTTCCCCGCCTTAGTAATCGAATACATGACTCTACTTCTACTTCTGATGGGGGCTCAAGTGATACCACCCAAGGAGTCACAGTTGTTGACACGGGAGTAACTACACTAGCGTGCGGCCATCTAAACTGTTCCCTGAAGTACTCGGCCCGTCGGTCAAGCCTTTGCTGTTTGCTATGGATGGGTTCTCCATTTCTATCGCAAATCGTTTCACTGACCTGAGTTCGCCGTCCACTGGTGTCACGAATAAGTTTGAACAGTCTCTGACTGTTACCTGAAGCAGCTGTCACTTCCATTTCTTCGGCTACCTTGATCCACCAATTTTCGCGATCATTCCTGAGGCTTTTCGTGACTTGTCTTTACAGCTTTCTCCGCATCTTAATCATCTCCTAACGGTTCGAAAGCTGACGTTTTTGCTCCATTATACTCAGCGACTCTTGCGAGATCCAGTGTCTTTGATGAACAACGGATCCAGGACCACAGGCAAAACCTGCTGCAACGTGCATCGCCTGTTTGATATGAGACCAATGCTCATCTACATTACTGTTCTCCGTGGATCCTAGCTCATGTGCTAACTTCTGCTCATACCGGGTGCGGACTTCTGTATCACACAGACGTTGCACGGCTAATCCGGTTTGCGGTTTGCGACGATGACCATGGAGCTGGAGAGATAATCGCATTAAAACTAAGACATGGTCCGACCCTACGTACGTGGACCAGTAAGATCTACAGTTCTGAACAGAACTGCGCCACCGGTAGCTTACGGCGATATGGTCAATTTGACTCAAAGTACCTGTAGAGTTAGAGCGCCATGTCGCTGTGCGACGCGAGCTGTGTCGGAAATTTGTGCTAGACAAGAACAATCGACTGTCTGCACAAAACTGGAGAAGCCTATCCCCGTTATCTGTACGCTCAGCAGGTAAAGCACAGCGCCCACCTAAACAGGCTTATGACACACTAAGTTTGCCAACTTGTGCATTGAAGTCACCAACTAGCACTACAATGTCGGAACCTTTACTGCCGCAAACGAGAGTGGCGAGTGCATCATGGAACTCATCTTTCTGCAAGTCTGAGCTGCAGTCCGTTGGGGCGTACGCCGAGATCACAAACAAGTTGCGCTTAACACAACTATCCTTTCGAACGCCAACTGACCATTGGAGTCTCAGAGCACATAAACGACTGTTAACCGGAATCCAGTCTAAAAGGGCAGCCTCAGCCTTGTCAGCCAAGACAATTCCTACACAACGTTGACCCACAGCTCTAGCTGCTTCGTCTCCTGAGGTGCGCAAAAAATACCTCGATGAGATACCTGGAGCAGTTAGTTGAATTACACTGCTCGGATCCTGGATACGCGTTTCGCTTAAGCAGCAGACATCAATCTTCAGAGAATTTATTGTGAGCGCTAGGCACGCCTGCTGACCGGCCTGCATGAGTGTACGCACGTTGAAGGAGCCGAGATTCAGAGGCTGACGGGGCTTGAGAAAATGTGAGTTACCAGACAGAGGATTATTCCCGATACTATTTGACATTGAACTGTTGCGAGTATTGACCGTGTTATCAGTGGGAGCATTATGGGTGGATAGATGGGGCAAAGAGGGATGGTTAGGGACAGAAGACAAAGTTGAATAAAAGAGAGGGAACTCTGAGCAGTAGCACACTTATCACTACCCACCCCGCTCGATGCAATGGGCAGCGCGGTCCTGATTATCCTGCGCGACGACCGATGCAGTATGGAATTCTTTGTATTCGTGCAGTTCATGGGAGATGTGGGACGGGTACTGCTAGGGTGTCCAGCCACAAAGCAGGAGAACGATTAGGGTCCTCATCCAAAGCCTTTAGTTCTAACAAGAACCTATCCACAAGGCAGCGGGATGGCTTAGTGGAAGCCCATTTGCTTGGATGAATTATTCTTCCACTGGTTTTTCCGACTGAGTTGCCAGCTCAAATCAACCCCCAACCTGGAGGACCAGGAGACTGGACTTCGTCTGACCTCTATCCATTGACCTGTCAGGTATGATTGCATCTCCGGCTTAAGGAAGCCATCCTGTATAGCTCTTTGGGTCATAGAGGCGCGCAAGCCATCACACCACGTCAAGGTGCAGTCTCGTCGTGATGGCGCTACGATTGCACTACTTATGGTTCTTCTAGTTCCTGTCCTCAGCCAAGCTGGTTTGTGTTCCTTGACTCTTTGGGACAGTTGCCGTGTTGTTTTGCCTACATAGCTTGCCGAACATGAGCAAACAAATGAATAAGTTAACATAGAGGAGGAAAGGACAGGCATTTTTGTCTCTGAGATTCATAGAAATCATTGACCGGCTTGTGAAGTGGGCGCGTAGAGTAGCGGCGGGAAATGTACGAGCGATTGCAACCTATTCATTTGTTTGCTCATGTTCGGCAAGCTATGTAGGCAAAACGACACGGCAACTGTCCCAAAGAATCAAGGAATACAAACCAGCCTGGCTGGGGACAGGAACTAGAAGAACCATAACCAGTGCAATCGTAGCGCACCTTGCCGAGACAGGGCACCAGGTAGACAACGAAGCCTTCAAGATAATTTACAAAGTGCTTGTGAATTCTTCGAAGATCGTTCGCCAAATCACTTTGGGATCAGCGGAGGCAGTAGCGATTAGGCTGTTAAATCCATCGCTTTGTTCACAAAAGCGATTTATCAAATCATTGCAGCTACCCTGGCCGCGATCGGAAAGTGGGGGACAAAATCATGGTGACCTCGACTGCGACCTTCCAGTCGTGACAGAAAGCAGCCAACCCACTCCAGATGTACTTTCTACACCGAGTTTTCCCAACCACGAACAACCAACTTCCCACCCCTTTTCCGAACCGCAAAACACCTACAATATTGATTGACCAATCTTAGTTTGATACTGTAAATACCCTGAATTTTGTTCCGAAAATATGCATTCCTATCGTATATATATGTAACTGTATTAGCCAGAGGATGAAGTTACCGAAAACGAGCTTGTGCGCTATCGTGCCTTTTTCTATAATGCAACGGGATTATTCAGTGAAATATTTAACTTCCTTTAACCTAGTGCAGTCAACTATGGCTTTGGTGCAAAGGATATTACCTGTTTTATGAGCGGGCATCAAACTATTGCTCTGAAACTTAAGATATGGATTAAAATACTGCTGTCATTGAGCCACCGTTGGCTCAGTGTGTTATCAGTCGAGTTTTGATGGACAACCGAATTGCCTTTATTAACGTTGGGTGCCTAGTGCTTAGTCAAGATTGGTCGCTATTGCTTGTACTCGGAAATGGCTTCCACTGCCATTTGGTTATGAGCTGAAGACGTTTCATGACCGGGCGAGTTGGTACTGTGACAAACCTTAAACCTGAATGGTATGAGGAAAAAAAAGTATTTTCATACTCATCAATTTTTTCCTGTTTCCATTTTAACAAGCTATCTCTCCACCATGATTTTCCTTTCAGGTATTTGGTGGTTATCTAATCAACTTGAAATCTATGGGAGCCTGGCTCAGCTGGTTGCGTTACTTATCCATCTTCCGCTATAGTCTCGGTGGCCTGATGGTTATGGAGATGAACCCCCTCCAGTTCTGTCCTGCCACAAACACATCAACGCCACAACTGCCAGACACACGTCAATGGTAAGTGTAAAAGTCTAGTATTCACTACATCGTTCACACTTCAGTGAACTACCTTCGAGAGAATACAAAAAGGTTTCGACCAGTTCATCATATAATGCTACGCTCAAGTGCAACGTAGAGCACAAAACCTTTGGGATGAGTACGGTTTTTCATAAGCACTAGTGAACACTTGAACGCAGTGGATCAAAGGGTCGTAGTGTTGTGAATTTCCGATGAACGTCTGAGGATGTCCATGTAAACCATCACAGACGCGTGGATGCATACAGTCACGGAAAGCCAACTTGAATGCTTCTATTTCAGTCTTATACTTAGGTTTTTATAGCTCCTCAAGGGCGTAGTGGATAATTCCAGTCCTGGAGAAATCGTAGGATGTCTCACGCAAGCCGGAAGTGACTAACTGAGATGTGTTTGGTCGCAGGTTTTGATCAGGAATTCGGTGGAAAAAGTAAGACCAATTGATTCATCGAGCAACACATAGCCCATCCCGAAAGATTTGACTGGAAATCCTATCCGAGGGAATGTGCAACCCACGCCCCAACCACCTTAGTGTCTCATCTGATTTGTGCATAACCTAAGCGTTGCTTATCTGGTGCCCCCGTCATATTTGAGCAATGCTACGAAGAAATCAGTTTCCAGATGCCGATAATCTTCGTATATCCTCCATCCACAGTGACCATTTTTTTGACCCATACGCAAGAACTGGCCTGATTGCTGCAGCGTACACTCGACTCTTGATATATAAACGTATATCACGTCGACGCGACAGATGTCTCAGGCTGGGAAAAGCCAAATGAGCCTTCTGTGTACTCAAGGTCACTTCGTCCAATATCCGACCTCAGGATGGAATGCATCCGCCTAGATAACAGAACTTGCCTACTCGGCTTGCAGTCACCCCAGATACCGCAATGTTTGGTGTTGGGTCAACCCTATCCTGCAGTAGTGTCTTGCACTTTTTAGGTGCAAAACGCGAAGCAAACATTGGTAGGCAGTAGTTCGTGCTACTAAGAAAAGCCTGTAGTTTACTTAAATCTTCACTCAGAAGAACTATATTGTTCGCACATTCAAGGTCTGACATTTCCACTCGTAAAATTTTCAAAACCATCATTCTCACATGACAAAAGAGCGATCTCTAGGATCGTATCAATCACAAAGTCAAAGATAATAGGATAGACGGGGCAACCCTGATGAAGACCAACTCTCGCGATGAACACGTGCCATAAACCTCAAATCGACAACGGCTGTTCATGTACAGGGACTTTATGATAGAAATGAATTTCCCTGGTACAACAAGCGGCAGCGCCAGAGAGCTATGCGGTCGACTGAATTGAACCCCACCTTTAGATCAAGGAAAACGGAGTTGATGAGCCCGTGGAAGGTGTGTCTATCTTCTAAATTTTGTCGAGTGTTGAAGATGCGATTAACACGACCTCGGTCAGGTCTAAAATCAACTTGATTGTTTACACGAGCACTGTTCGCGAGCGTGAGGTGTAAGAGAAAAATACCAGCGAGCAGTTTGGATGCGATGCCAACCAGACTAACTTCCCTGTGGTTTTCATAAGAGGATCTGTGACCTTTCATATAAATCGGTACGATCACCAGTTCACACCAACTCCTTGGAACTTGTTCCCTTGTCCATTTCAAACCAAGGATTTGTTTTAACTCCCGTATCCATACTGAGCCACTGTCCTCAAGAGCAGACGGAGGCAATCAATTCTGATCAACAGCCCTGTGTCGTTCAATATAGTTTATTCCACGGAAGACTGGTATCCACATCTAGGATTCTATCCATTGGGCTATTCAACACCACTGTTTTAGATTCAAGCCAATTAAAATTTCCCTCGAAGTGTTACGCCCAGCGCGAACAAAAGATTGGTCAGAGTCAACAGACGTGGGTCACGATAGATTGGTTGTGAATCAATTTACGAAGCGGTAACCGACAATAGTGTGGTTGATGAGCCCAGCGTTGTGGAGATGTGAACACCACAACCTCGACCAGCTTGATTCTCGCGTGCTCTTTTACAGGAAGCGCCTGAAGCATATTCAACAAACTGCCATTTCATCGCGATCGTTCACATTCTGAACATTATCATTTGGTTAGTAAAAACGTCAAAGTCAGAATCTTAAGATTATTCAGAATGACAACGGTTCTGCTCCGATTTTGAAAGTACAAATAAAAGATTACGGGAAAACGCAAGGTACTGAAAAAGCTAGCGATCAAATTCAGCAGCGTAACCTTAAGCCCATTTTGAATGGCTTCATGAGATGGGGTCAGGGAACTGGTCCGTTCAAAACGAAATGAGGCATAAGCGGAATTTGAGCGAATGTATGAAAAATGAACTAATCCCATCCATCATTGACAAACTTTGCGTAGTATTAAGTCTAAAAATAGTTTCCTTTTGAGTTGCTGATTACACCTGATGTGTTCAGGTTCCAGTTGGAGTTTGGCAATGGAAACATTTAGTCTGAGTGGGTCGGGTGGAACTGAATCGCACAATTTTATGACCGAACCATGGTTACACTTTAACGCGTTGAAGATATGAGTACATGAACACGAATACATTGCAGAGGATTTGAACATTTGATTTGCCCTACTCCATTAAGAAATGTCAATAATCTATTGGGAGAAACAAATCTACTGTCAGCTCATGGGTTCTGCAGGCTTTAGACGCTGGTAGACTACCTCGTATCGGTGCGTGAAAAAACGTAAGATATGGCAGCCCGAAACCCTCTTCTTGAAATATTGTACCATCAATAAGTAACAGAAGTAAATAAAACGAAAATCTACATCACTAACTGGATGCACGTTATTATTAATCAGATCACAGTCCTCGATTTATTCGGTTCGAACAAGCACACCACAAGTGGGAGGCCTCAAATTAGCCCTTTTCTGTATCCTCTAAACTATGAACCATGTTGCCAACGCAAAAGCAACAAATGCAAAGATCTGATTGTTGATCTTATCACGTGTATATATGTCCACCTATACCTGAACACTACTTGATATTGATGGAAAAATTGCCGCGCATTGTTCATTGTATCCTTCTCATAGAACAGAGCAACATAATGGCGTAGTACGCTTGGAACGACTTTTTCGGTATCGTATTGCAGTCGAAATATGCGTACATCTCTCCTCAATTCCCATATTGTAAGCCAACCAACCATTTACGTAATTCTATTTCAGCCAACCGGGGACGCAATATTTGTACGATCAAGATATCGGATATGAAACACCGTGGGATTTGTGGATGAATGTTTTTGGACAAATAATGATCACTCTAGGTTTCTACGTTCTGTGTTATATTCAACTCCGTCGAATTAAGAAATACAAATAAATCGACTCAAAACAGCTATGAACTCGAAGAAGCCGGAAATCTGAGTTTATTTACTACACTCTTACGTCACGCACACTCACGAATCGTGTATTTTTCTGACTAATTTATGTGCAAGTATGTGGACTGATCTTTGGAGGACGGAAAGGATCGTTCTCCGTGGTTTTGGAAAACTCTGACTCGCCTTTGGACTTGGGATTCATTTCGTTGTTGCACAGACTTTTGTCAAGGCTCAAATAGATTCACTACAAAAAAGATTGCTCTGTATAATCGCACATATAATGAAACCCCTTGTAATCACCTCTCCTGTGTTAAATTCCCTGTCCCGGATAAAATGTGGTTATTCCGCGGTGTTCGTGTCCCCGGTCTTTTTGCATAGCCTACCGAGAATCACCATGTTTCCAAATCCGCTGCTGTTGTGTAGTGTCCTGTTCCATACATGGCGCACACCTTGTCACCATTCCCCGTCCACACGGCTGCCATCCGCACGCACAGTCACATCATGTCAGCACATCGAAAATCCAACCAGTGATCTCCACGTCTTTTTTTTCTATCATCCATTTGCCTTTATCTTTTCGCAAACCAAAACAACCACGTCAACTCATTTTGATGATATAGAAAAATGTGAAATAAACCACTGAATCATCTCAGTCGTTCCCAAACTGGATGAAACAGCTTTGGTGGTGACATCCTGCAATTGAAATTTGCCAAGTTGGACGGTTCCTCATCTGTGTACTCGTCTGGGTTGCGCGAGTTGTCGGTAGATTTCAGATCGTATTTGTTGACGTACTTCTGTCACTGGGCATCTTATTCCGGCTTCGACTGAGGCAACAAAGTTGGCTGCTCTGGCATTGGCGTAGTTGAATGTTAGTCCTTTTAACAAAACAGATGTTTCGGTTGGGAGCAGTTGATGTTTTGAAAAGTTATGGATTGGTTTGGTGTATTCAGATTCTGTTGCTTTGAGTGCGCTGAATTTCCTTGTTAGTCCTTCTCTGACCTTAGACCGGTTTGTGTTCGATGTCAATCCGATAACATTTTTCATTATTATTATCCAGTTGTCATCAAGTAATTTTGTAGCTTCCATCTCGGATCGGTTTTGCTGGGTTTCGTAGGTGCATTTTCTTCGGTGAGCGTCATCGATTAGCTCGCGATGCATCTGCTTGCAATATGAATTGGTTATCTTTCTCGCACGTTCTGAACATACAGGTGGATTGCATTGCATGTTTTTTGGAAGTGTTCCGTTTCGCGAGCATCAATGGAGAAAGAACAATTGTTCACGCACAGCACACAAGCGTTTGGAATAGCTTTCCCATCTTCTCACACACTTGAGCGCATTGCATCCAAATTTCTGATTCAAAAGTGAGAATGTCTGAAGCTCAGGTTGCATATTTTATAGAAACGTCAACTCGTACACAGTTGTAAAACGTTTTTTGTGCCGTTTCAATCCAAACTAAGACTCGTTGTCAAACGTAAGTGAACGAGTGTGTGAATTGGACGGCTGGTTACGCACGTTTTTGGTGTGTTGCTCGCCTGTCCGTTTCTCGATTTTCGGCACCGGTTCTGACAGGGTGACGTAATGCTTATCGACATCGACGTGTCGGTTGAACGAGTTGATCGTATGGAAGGTTTCGAGGATCAGGCGCTCCCCTTCATCTTTGCGCTGTCGATTTTGACCTCGTGACCTGTCTCTGCGCAATGGTTAAAAATCTGTTTGTGGGTCGGCACATCGCTATGCTAGTTTGTGTTCGTGTAGGCGAGTACGTAGTTGTTTGCCTGTCTCGCCTATGTATTCCTTATCACATCCCCGACACGGCAGGGCGTAGACCACTCCTGACTGATCGTGCTGGTCCGCACGCTCTTTTGCGTTGAATAGAGCGGTCCGCAGGATATATATATATATATATATATATATATATATATATATATATATATATATATATATATATATATACATATATATATACCGACTAGATTGCACCTTGGCGTGCTGTGATGGCTTGCGTCCATCCATAACCCAAAGAGATATGTAGGCTGGATCCCTTTAGCTTGACAAATCAGATGAAGCTCAGTCTCTGAACCAATTGAAAGACATTCCAGCGAATAAACACGGAGAGAAACAGCTCACCAGTCTAAAAATCTCTACAAGATGGATGTAGCAGTGGAGTACCTGGGATTTCTCTCGGCGGTCATCGCACTTCATTGGGCAGCTATCGCCCGCCTAAGCTGAGCAGACTCCAGCCTAAAGGATGCCGCCCTGTGCGCGTTTCACTTGCTCCATTGAGTGCATGGAACTAAGGACTGAACCCAAAAGGCGGATCAATAACAGAACACCAGCGATGGTAAGACAAAATGCGTGCAGCACTCAGGTCTCACGTGACAGACCAGAAGAGGTTCTTCGGTCACGTTCCCGTGCTGGATTAATGCCTCACTGCCTTGTGGGTCAGACTTTTGAGTCAAAGGCTTCGATTAGGGTTTCCAAAGAAAATTCCGCGGTGTGGGCAGCCGCGAAGTATAGTTGGCCCAGAAACCTCCAGCATCTTTTCTGTAAAGGGTCTTACCAACCTTTTCTCTCTTAATTTAAGAGCTATACAAAACGCCACGGGTTATTGCGGCTCTGAAGAAAGCAGCAGTTAAGGAGTCGGGTATGAATCGGATGCACTTCCCGAGCATAAATTTTCACTTCACTTGGCTGCCTTTACCGTCCGCACAAAATATTAGATGAGGCAACAGGCTGCCCTCGCTAAAACCCTTGACACTTTTAAAATAGATGTATGCTGTGTCTCCGAAACGCGCATACAACACCCCACTTCTGTAATCCCGCTTCGCACTCCAGATACAACCTCAGTCTCTAGGTTAACTCTTCGTATGCTGGGTGATCCGGTTTCTAGTGCTTGTGGTCAGGCCGGCGTTGGGATTGCTTTGAGCGCGAGAGCTGAGCATGTACTACTAAACTGGATTCCGGTCAGCGGTCATTTGTGTGCTGTTCGGTTGGACGGTTCTGTGCATGTCAATAGCAACAAACTGAAGCGTCGATGCTTATTTGTCGCGCATGCGTATGCGCTCATTGACTGCAGTTCCTCTGAAACCAAGGACGAGTTCTATGAGGATTTATCTCAGCTACTTCGAAGCGTACGCTTAACAGACGTGACAGCCATTGCTGGAGATTTCAACGCCAAAGTTGGCCGTTTGGGGAAATCCCAAAAGGCACACTGGAGGCCCATTTGCTATCCCAGACGATCGTACCGATAACGGCGATCGTCTCGTGTAACTATGCCTGACTACAGATTGTATTTGGTGAGTACGAACTTCTGCCATAAGAAGCGGCATAGACTAATATGGCGTCCTCTTACATCTTTACAATGTTGGACTCAGATTGACCATATTGTGACTGGTCACCGCAGGCATGGATCTGTTGAAGATTGCAGTTCATTTCGGCGGATGTTTTAAGAAGTCGTCTCCACTACGCAAACTAAATGGAACGCCGCGAACGTGAACTCCCTCCCGCTATCCAGTGATCTATCTTCCAGCTCATCGGCAATACCAGAAGCAAGATACCGTCTTGATTTGTACCCTGCACCTTCTCATTGTCCTATTATCCAGTGAACTATCTTCCACCTCACAGGAAACATTCTGATAAGAAGATTAACAGAAGTCTAATACCCGTGTGTTACTTCAAGACCTTTGGGCTACTCATTCATTAGTCATCATTTTCATCGTACGGCGTCGAACAGCAGGACAAGCCCCACTGATCACTGTCTTTATCACCATGTTGCACGTAGAATTGGAAAGTATGAGTATACAAGACGGACAGGAAGTAGATCTACAGGAGTGGGAAGAGGAAAGGGCACCTTAATAAGCAACACACGCAATACGCAGTCCAGCTGTAGCAAACGAAATCAGGGTAGATATTATATATATATATATATATATATATATATATATATATATATATATATATATATATATATATATATATATATATATATATATATAACCGAGTTCCACTTTCGCCGACAACTGTACCAGAAATTGCCAGTCATCCTCGTTCGCTGCGCTCCAATACTATTTGGTATTCCCGCTTCGATTTCATTCCACGAAACAAATGACTTTTCAACCACTTAGATAATAATGTGAAGATGAGTGATGTGAAACGATAGTAACAAACTAGGCCATCTCATTTTCCATTTTGACAGAAAAGTAAACTAGAACTGTAGCATTTCACCGGAAATACCATATTGCTTTCTATATGAACCATTTTCTCCGACTGGTCTTATTATTACTTCTTCAGCATTTACGTTTTACCAATTCCGGGGGTATCGTTTGTAGGTATGTGACGTGTTACTCAACAGTCGACCGAGGTATTTCAACATGGGCGCGCTGGATCATGGGGGAACTTGTGCCGCTTCTGCCATATCATTAACGGCATTGCGTGCTTCTAGATAACTATGAACGATAAAATGAATGAAGAACAGGAGTTTCGCCTTTGAGCACAATATCATAACTTGCGGTTGCAATACCGAAGAACACAATCAGAATATGGAGAGGTCCCCAGAAGTATAGAAGTACGTAAACCGAAGACAAAAGCATCGCGTCGGTAAGAAAAACATTTGAAAAGTTGGGTTTCGAAATCTCGAAGGGTCTCTTAGGACCGGTTAAGGAAAGGCTAGGCTCTTTCACAGAGTCACCCACTCCTCAAAATGTAAAGTCCTGACAGGAATGCTTAGTCGGGATGTCTGCATATTAATCCCAATCCATTTCACGTATCTCACAAAAGATTAATTTACTTTGATTTGTCGAGCAGTAGCAAAGCTCTAACTAATCGCTGAAAACCGTTGAAGTCATTGTACATCTGAAGCTCGACTTATGTGTTAATTAAATTCAACCTCTTACTGTTGGAAATGTTCAAATAGTCACGTTCTTCAGATCAGTGCGAGCGCAAAGTCTTCGTTGTCACCTGGACTTCCTGGGGCAAGGTCATCCAACATAAGAGTCGATCACCGTAC